AGAATGGCTAGGCTTGCAATGATTCCCAGTTACAGGGCAGGCGGTGTGCCTTGTCGGTGGTCTCCATTCTGGAGGGGTCCACTGGGTAGGCTGTGGCCATGACCATGGCACCATGCTGCCCACATGAAGGCTGACCACTGCCCAGGGCTTACCCTTCACTCCTGGGCTAGGGGACGGGGAGGCCGTTTCACCCCCAGCCTTGGCGGTCCAGCAAAGGCGAGGCCTCGCCTGGGCAGGCCTCCCAGGAGTGCTCAGGGTCCCCCTTTAGCCTGGAGAGGCTGTTGGGCCACCAGCATGGCGCTGCCCGTATGGCAGCCTTGGCGGTGCCCTGGCTGCTTCCTCTGGCTTGGGGCCCAGCCTGAAGCCCCTGGAGACGGGCCTTCTGGTGGGACTGATGCTGCTCGCCTCCACTGCCCAGCAGGCGCTCCCTCCCGGCAGCCCACCAAGGTTGGTGTGGGGTCCCCGAGCCCCCAGGTAACACTGCTGTTTCACTCATGTCCAACTAAGTCGCTTCACTCATGTCCAACTCTGTGCGACCCCATAGACAGCAGCCCACCAGGCTCCGCCATCCCTGGGATTCTCCAGGCAAGAACACTGGAGTGGGTTGCCATTCCTTCTCCAATGCATGAAAGTGAAAACTGAAAGTGAAGTCGCTCTGTCGAGTCTGACTCTTCGCGACCCCATGGACTGCAGTCCACCAGGCTCCTCCGTCCTTGGGATTTTCCAGGCAAGAGAACTGGAGTGGGGTGCCAGTGCCTTCTCCGCCCGGGTAACACATCAGTTTGCAAAGGCTCCTGGCCCCCTGGGATTTGCCAAGGCCTTGGGGCTATGGTCTGGAATCTGCACAATTGCCCACTGCCTGTCGGGCTCCAGGCTTCAGCCTAGAGATGAGGGACACCCCCTTGGAGTTGGTCAGGGGGAGTTTGTGACCTCTGACCCCCTAAGCCTGGGACCCACTTCCCTCTCCACATGCTTGCAGGACGCTCAGAATTCGGACACCACCCCAGGCTCCTGGGTCTCTGGGTGTCGGTCACTTCCCGATGGGCCATAGGAGTCTGGAGCAGGGGACGTGGTCATCTGGAAGGAAGACTGAAGGAGGCGTGGCCCGAGACCGCAGTTTCCATCACTGTCTTTGCACGGAGCTGTTTTCCAGTTTTGGCGAGGACGTGCCAGGCTCTCAGAGCGCCTATAAATAGCTCTCTGTGACGGGAGGCACATTTGGTTTTGGCGAGAGGAGGAGGCTTCGTTCGGGGTGGGGGCGTGGGTTTCCTCCACATCCTGGCTGCGGAGCCCAGGAGATGATGGTTTCGCCAGTGATGAGAACAAAAGCAGCTTCGCCTGCAGCCTGGTCCCAACTGCAGTGGGGTCACAGCGGCACCCCACTCAGAGCACACACCGCACACGCACACGCACACACGCATGCACACACACGCACATGCATGCACGCACGCACACACACGCACGTGCACGCGCACGCACACGCACACACCACACACGCGCGCGCACACCCACATGCACACACGCACACATACACCACACACATGCACACACACACACAGATTTATTAGGGGGCCAAGGAGGCCAAGATCTGAGGCTGTAGTGAACTTAAGGCCCAGCATTGCCAATGGTGTAAGTTCCAGTCCAAAAGCCGGCAGGCTCAGGACCCAAGAAAAGCTGATGTTGCTCCGAGTCTGAAGGCTGGAAAAGACAGATGTCCCAGCTCACAGGTGGGCAGAAGTCCCCTCTTCCTTGACTTTTCTGGTCTAGACATGTCATCAACTGATTAGCTGAGGCCCACCCACTCTGGGAGGGCACTCTGCTTTATTCAGTCTACTGATGCAGATGCTAATCTCATCCAGAAACACCCAGGGTAACTTCTGGCCAAATGTCTAGGTTGTCTGTGGCCCAGTCACGTTGACATGAAGAATTAGCCATTATTCCTGCTCTCGGATCCCCCGGGTACAAATCCCCAGAAGCAGGGCTGCTGCATCATGTCTATGTAGGATGTTTTTTAAGGAACTTCAACAGTGTTTTCCACAGCGGCTGTACCATTTCACATCCCCCCTGCACAATACACAAACCTTCCAATTTCTCCACATCCTTACCAACACTTCTTATTTTCTATCTTTTGATAATAGCCTTCCTGATGGGTGGGAGTGAGTTTTACCTTTGAATGTTTGGCTGGAAGACAAGGAATGATGCTTTTTATTTTTTAACTGCACTGTGCAGCTTGTGGGATCCTAGTTTTCTGACCAGGGATTGAACCCAGGCCTTTGCAAGGAAAGCATGGCATCCTACCCACTGGACCACCAGGGAATTCCAACAAGGAATGACTCTGACTAGTTGTCCCCTAAATGACATTGGGTTACATGTCATGGGTCACCCTGTAGACCCTTCCTTTTATGTTCATGTCATAAATGCCAGCAGACTAGGTCACTGGCTTCTCAGGGCCTCTGTGGACCTCCTGCTTAGGTTCCTAACCTCTGTCCTTGTTGTGTTTCTTTCTTTTTTTTTTTTCTGATGTGGACCGTTTTTAAAGTCTTTATTGAATTTGTTACAATTTTGTTTCTGTTTTAAGTTTTGGACTTTTTTGGCTGAGAGGCATGTGGGGTCTTATCTGCCCAACCAGGGGTCGAACCCACATCCCCCACATTAGAAGGTGAAGTCTTAACCGCTGGACCACCAGGGAAGTCTCCCTGCTGTGTTTCAAGGATCCACTGTCTGAAACCTGCATCCCAGATGGACGGTCACCCTCAGGAGGCTGGTGACGCTCCATTCACCAGGTGCTTCTAATCTGCTTCTGTGTCTGCAGAACCTCTGTGTGTGTGAGAGAGAGAGAGTTGCTCAGTTGTGTCCCACTCTTTGCGATCCCATGGACTGTAGCCCACCAGACTCCTCTGTCCATGGGATTCTCCAGGCAAGAATACTGGAGTGGGTTGCCATTCCCTTCTCCAGGGGATCTTCCTGACCCAGGGATTGAACTCTGGTCTCCCACATTGCAGACAGATTCTTTACCATCTGAGCTATGAGGGAGGCCCCACAGGGCCTGTCACTGAAATGGCCTTTACTGTCCACTCTCAGGACCCCCAGCTGGTGCAGACAGGGGCTGCCGGGGCTCCCCTGACGTTAGCAGACCGGGAGGAGGCTGAATTCGTCTCCAGGCTGTCCCCGTTAGTGGCATCCCTGCAGGACACCAAGCATTAGGTGATGCCCAAGAGCTGAAGTGAGTGTCACCGCCAAAGACAGAGGTCTGGGGTCTGCGGCACCACAGCCCCCGGCCCCCACATGGAGCCGCGTCAAGCAGGTTTCTCCAGGGAAACAGCTGGCAGGATGGAGACACGTATGTTTAAGAAATTTCTTGCGGGAATTTGGCTCCCAAGACTGTGGGGGCTGGCAAGTCTGCAATCGGAAGGGCAGGCTGGGAACTCAGGCAGGAGCTGGTGGTGCAGCCTCAAGGCGGAATGTCTCCTCCAGCAAATCTCAGAGTTTGTGCTGAAGGCCTCCAAAGGATCGGGGAAGGCCCACCCACATTATCGCTGCCAGTAGACGGACGGTTGACATGTGTGTCTGCAGGCTGGCGTCTGAACGCCCGGCTCATTTGAGCGTGGAGTCAGCCACTCTCCTGGGTCCAGGGCTTCCCATTGGGGCATGGAGAGCCCTGCCCCTGTGGGCTCTGCATCAGGTCTCCCCAGGGGCCCCGGGGTCACCCCAGGGCCCTTGTCTTTGCCTGCCTGGCTGCCTCAGTGCATCATGGACCACGTGGCTTCTTTGCTTTAGTCACTGTGTCTGTGTGGCTTGAGCTGGACCCTTGCCTGTAGGTGCTGGTTTAAGCTGTGCGTAGGTGGAGTTTCTGCTTCACTGAAACCCAGTGAAGAGCTGTGAGTGCTTTTTGAGGTTCCCCATCCCTCTAGCTATGGGGACAATCAACGGAACGGATGCCTCCCCCCCACCTCTGGGGAGCATGTTGGGACTGGTCAGGACTGGTGGGAATGCAGCATGCATTCCGGGGGGTTTCCAGGCTCAGTCCCTTGACCTGCCCCCACCGTGGCCTTCTGGGCAGAGGACTGTCTGACGTAGATTCTTGTGGAATGACGACCTTGTGATGCAAGAATGGCCAGGGCCCCGGAGAAGGGGGCCAAGAGGGAGGAGGAGCCTCTGGTCGGGCTGATGGGTGTGGTGGCTGCTGTTTCCGTAGCTCGGACTGGTCCACACTGTGCATGGGCCTTGAGGGCCTCCGCTGCCTGAAATCAGACAGAGACAAACGTTGTACAACCTCACTTTGTTGTGGTGTCTAAACAAACTCATAGAAAAAGAGATCAGATTTTTTGTGGTTCCCGGGGCGGGGACTGGGGAAATGGGTGAAGATGGTCCCGATTTGGACTTCCAGTTACAAGACAAATTAGCCCCGAGGATGCCGTGTTCAGCACGATGGTTGTCGGTAGCACTGCTACGTGTTTCACTTGAAAGAGTAGATCCTTTAAGTTCTCATCATAAGTGAAAAAAAGTTTTTTGTTTTTAAAGAAAATCTTCTGGATAAATTGTTCACATTTGAAGAAAGATTATTTATTTGGCTGCACTGGGTCTTAGTTGCAGCATGCGGGTTCTTTGATCTTCCTTGTGACACGCAGGATTGTTTTTAGTCGCGGCACGTGGGATCTAGTTCCCCGACCACGGGTCGAACCCCTTCCCCCTGCATTGGGAGCGCAGAGTCTCAGCCACTGGGCCACCAGCAAAGTCCTAGGGAAGAAACGGCGTGTGTGGGTGATGGACGTTAACTAAACTCACCGGGGTCATCGTTTCACAAAATAACATCCAAGTCATCAGGCTGCAACACCTTCAGCTTAGTGCTGGGTATCGACTGTATCTCAGGAAGCCTGGAAAGGGGGAATATCTCTTGTTTTTCAAAAGCAGCTCTGATTGGTCGTCTTTTGCTCTTAGGCAGTCAGGATGGGCAGTGTGTCCCGCACTTGGCGCTTTAACGTGATTTCCTCTTCTGGCAGGTGGCGATCATCGCCGGCAACTTCGAGCTGGCCGAGTACATCAAGAACCACAAGGAGACCGACATCGGTGAGTAGGCTGGCTGTCTGCCAGTGAGCCGCGCAGGGATTCTGTTTGGTCACCTTGCCGGATTGGTTCGGAATCTGCTTTAAGCCAGACTTCACGGGAACAGAGTCCGAGCATCTCCGTCTCTGTTGCTGCATCTTCTTGATGCGTGGTGGGGTTGGGGTACGGAACCCCTTAGATGTCAGGCGAGAGCTTCGGCGATGGCTGCAGGGCCTTGCCATCCAACCGGAGAACCAGATCGCCTTGCGACCGATTGAGATGGGTTTGCGGGGGGGATTCTGTAACACACGCGATTCTGTTTAAAGTCGGAGATGGCGATGAAAGGAGGCAGGAAGAGCCGGGGGCGTCCCCCTCCCCCTCCCGCCTCTGCATCCCTGGCTCTGTCTGCTGATAACCGCTCCCCTTTTCAGTACCCCTCGTGCCAACCAGGAGGACTGTCCCTGCGGCTCCTCCTCTGTCCCATCACCCTGCCGGTGGCTGGGCCCAGTCTTGCATCTTGGAAGAGCCCTCTGGCCTGTTCCCTCCGGCCCCGGGCTTACACCGGACTTGCAGCGGGGAGCAGGCCCACTGGACCAGCAGCGGTGAGATCTCCAGACGTCGCCATCCCATCCAGGGGGCGGGCCCCGGGGCTCCAGGGCGCCTGGAGGAGTCACCGGGTGGCCTCTGTGTCTTGTTGCCTGCATCGCTCCCCCCAGATTGGGCGCAGGGCGGGTGAGCGATCCCGTGCGTCTGGCTGTCTGGTCTTTTTCGTGTTGGATGTCTGGTGGGCGCCCAGCTGCTTCGAGAATCGCACAAGGATGTGGAGCCGATGTCTCGCTTGACTCATCCGGTCCCCAGTGCCAAGCATCGGGGCCTCCCGCGCCCGATGTTGATGCGAGTCCTCCCACGAGCCAGGGCCAAACCTCCTAATTGCTCTGAGATCCGGGCATCCTGCCTGGCCGTGTCGGCCTCTCCCTAAGCACGCTATGCATGTGGATGAGTTCATGTCCGCACAGCACACTAGAAGATGAACTGAGCCCTCCCAACTCTTCCCACCACCCCCTAATACAAGAGTGGTACAAAAATACCGGTTGCCATGAAGGGAATTGGAGCTGTTGTTGAGCAGGGCAGACCACCAGGAGGAGGTGTGCAGGTCCCTCTCATGACCCCGGGGTGGTTAGCAGTCCGGGGATCCAGGATCTCTTAGTTCCTGCGATGGTGACAAACTTGGGGCTACCGTCCTGATTTCCCCTGAGCCCGGGGAGGCGTGAAGGGGCTTCCTTACCCAGGCTGGCTATCGAGAGGGAGACAGGAGAAACTAGAGATTCTGCCCACCGCCCCCCAGCCCCGCCCTACAGATTCACTCCCCTTTTCGCCCCAGCCACGAACTCAAGAAAGTGCTGATTTTAAAACCCGGATCGGGGAGGTTTCTGGCTTGTCTCTCCCGTTCCTTATCTGGGATGTAAACGCCTCTCTACAAACATATTTTCTCATTATAAGAAGAATACCTGTTTGTTGGGTGAACACATCTTAATTACCACTCACCCACTCCCATCAATGATTTCTTTAAACTGTAAGGGCTTGGCCTGTCGAGAGATGGGATGATCACGGCAGTGCGTGCGACGTCCGTGGTTCCGGCTGCAGGGATTGGGGTTGGAGGCCCTCCTGCTGTGTAGACACCGGGGTCTCCGGGAAAATGTGGGGTGGCGTTTACTGTCAGCCCATGCTGTCTGCTCCCTGTGCCAGGGACTTTTCCTGCTGTGCTCTAAAGGGGACAGTTAGCACGGGAAATCTGTGCTCCCCCGCCGGGTCCTTCCAGCATCTCCAAGGGAGGCGAGAGGGGTGGGGGGGAAGACTTCTTGCCTCTGAATTGTCTGACTCAGCATCTCTGACTGTGAACTAGCAAACTGTGCCATTTAAGTCGGTTCTGCCGAAGACCTCGCAGAGGCTGTGGGCCCTTCACGGGTGCAGACGTTGCTCAATGTGTTCATTCTTGGACTCGCAGTATATCCATCCTGAGATCTTGGTTCTGCAGCCTGTGAACTGAACCTCTAGGTTTGAACTCGGTGGTTTGCTCTTCGCCCCGTGGCCACCCCAGCTTTGCATCTGCCCTTGTTACCAGCGGGGCCGGATGCCAGATGTGTGGCGGGGAGGGTCTGGCCCTGTCCCATGCCCCAAGTGGGTCTCGCTAAGTCCTCTGCGGGGGTCTGTACCTCCTGCCTCAGAGAGCCGCCCTGCCTCTGGGTAGATGAGTGACCCCAGGCAGATGTCCACCCTTGCCGAGCCTGCGTGCCCAACATCTCATGTTCCGTCACTCCTCCAAGGATGTGTCGCTGTCTCTGTGTGACCGAGGATGGGTTGGATATAGGATGCGTGGCATTTGGGTCGACTTTGCCGTGGAGAGGGTGCCAGACCACAGAGGCGGGAGCACAGCGTAAGTCCGGGCGGACGGGAGGCCAGCCCGGTGCCTTAGTGAGCTGGTGCTGCAGGCAGCTGAGGCCAGGTGTTGTTGGGACCCCAGGGGGGGGCGTCGCGGGAGCTGGCCTTGGCCTTGTCTCACCCCAGGGTGAGGCGACCGTGTGTTTACCCACCGCCTCAAGTTCCTGTTGGTTCAGGCTTGCTCTGTGCCAGGAAGGGCCCTTCACTGGGCGGTGCAGTGCCTCTGGGGTCCCGTTGAGCGCCTGGGCAGGGTCCAGGGTCCACGGGCATCTCCCAGCCAGGACTCCCCCAGAACCACGTGCCAGAGTGATGGGCCGAGCTAGGCCCATCTGACCCGGGGGGGGCGGGGACTCTGAGTTCTTCATGACCAGGCTCCCCATCTCCACGTGCACCCAGAAAAACGAAGCCACACTCGAGAGTTTCAGGCAGCAGTGCAGGCTGGGGCCGGGGAGCTCGGGGGTCTTCACACAGGCTGCTGTTGGAACCAGGGCTGGACGAGTGGGTGGAGGAAGGAGAAGGGGGAAGAGGGTTCTTGGGTCCCAGACCGCTGACAGCAGGATCGCCCTGCAAGAAGTTCTCTGGTCCCCTGGTCCCGGCTCAGGGCTCTGCGGTCACCAGAGCTGAGTATGTGTCTGCCGAACTCTGCTCCCCAGACGGGCTGAGAGGGCAGGGGTGGGTGGAGGAGGAGGACACTTGGGAGATGGCTTGAGGCCGGGCCTGGGGGCTGCAGAGGGGTCATCAGAAGCAGTAGGATTCGGACTGGGGTACAGACACTGCAGGGGCTTCCAGGTGGCTCGGCGGTAAGGAACCCACCTGCCAGTGCAGGAGACTTGGGTTCAGTCCCTGGCTGGGGATCCCCTGGAGAAGGACCTGGCAACCCACTCCAGTGTTCTCGCCTAGGAAATTCTGTGGACAGAGGAGCCTGGCGGGCTACAGTCCATGAGGTCACAGAAGAGCTGGACACGACTGAGTGATGAAGCGCAGGCACACACGGGGTCCAGGGCTCCCGTCAGCCGTGGGAGGTCACCCACGGTGCCGTCTGACTGTCCCCTCTGGACCGTTCCCTGCCTGGTGCACGGTTCTTGTTTAGTCGGTCAGTCGTGCGGCCGGTCAGTCAGTCGGTCAGTCTTTGTGACCCCATGGACTGTAGCCTGCCAGGCTCCTCTGTCCTCGGAACTTCCCAGGCAAGAATATTGATGTGGCTTGCCATTTCCTCCTCCCGGGGATCTTCCCGATCCAGCCATGCCACCTGCGTGTCCTGCAAGTCTCCTGCAACGCAGGCCGATTCTTGAGCACTGAGCCGCCGGGGAAGCCTGGCGCACCGCGGGGCCTTGGGAAATGCCCGCCGAGTGGGCGACCCCTCCCTCTGCCAGTTTGCCCACTCCACCTTCAGCCCTGCTCTCTCTTCTCAACATAAAACCCTGGCCTCCTGGCACCGGGAGTTGAGGGTTGAGGAGCCGAGTCCCGTGAGCACGTCAGTGCTGGGTTGGGTGTGTTTGCCGGAATGTAATGCCCTGATCCCCCCGAGCGTGGTCTGAGTGGGGAACACGGGGGCAAGTGGGTTGTGTAGGGAGTGGGGGTCAGTGTTTCCACCCACAGCGGGTCACTCTGGGACCATGTGAGATTGGGGGTCTCTGGTGGGTCGTGTGTGAGGGCCTCTGGCCATGTGGCTTTGCCGTTCCAGCTTCTATGAGGGTCTTGGCTCCGGGACCCCACCTCCTCCATGACCTGTGGGGGTGCTGACTGTCTGTCTTGGTCAGGGTGATATTTTGTCTGCCCCAGACTCTTGGGTGGTGAGCGTCTGGTATGATTGCAGGGGGAACTCCAGGGACCATTTGCCTTTTGCTGCAGCCTTGAAAATCATGGTGGGGGTGCTGGGGAGGGCTGGGACGGGGCCTTCTTTCTACTTTATGATCTTCAGCAAATTTGAACTTCTGAGCCACACCACGGTGTAGAAGGCATCCAGGAGAGCGGGGTCTCAGGTCTTACGTCCGAGGCTTTGGGCTCTTTACTCTGCCAGGACGAGCCCGCAGTGCTTGCTGCCAGGACTGTCAGACATCAGTGTGGGCTGGGGCAGCGTTTTGGGGTACCCAGCCTCACTTGTCAGGATCCCGAAGTCAGAGGAGATGAAGGTGAGACTCAGCATTGCCTCCGTGGTGTTGGGTTGCATTTTTGAAGATAAAACATGGCGGAAGGATCCCCAGATTCCAGGTTGGGCATGGGGTTGGTTTTGACTCTTCAGAATGAGTCCATTAAAATGTTGCTGACTTTCTGCCTATAGCCCAATGAGGTGCCTTCCTGAAAAAGTCCCTTGAAGAGCTCAAGTATTCCCCCCACCTCAAGCCACAAAGCCTTTGTTTTCTAGACACGAAAGTGCCCGGCCGAGAAATCAGGGTACTTCAGAGGCTCTGATGCGGCACTGGGGGGAGAACACTGAACCTGTCGGGTCGCGGTGAGCTGATGAATGGGCCCTCCGAGGTCTGCGGAATCCGGAAGTGGGTCGGGCTCGCCGAGTGGATGCCACCCTATCCCTTTAAAAGAGAGATTGCATCTTGTCGTGAAGCGTTCTGTTCACAATCCGGCCA